CCACAGCCTTCAGTATGGATTACACCTTAACATAAAGAAGACAAAAATCCTCACAACTGGACCAATAAGCAATGTCATGATTAATGGAGAAAATAGTGAAGGATGTCATTTTACTTGGATCCACAATCAACGCCCATGGAAGCAGCAGTCAAGACATCAAATGACATAATTGCATTGAGCAATTCTGTTGCAAAAGACCTCTTTAAAGTATTCAAAAGCAAAGATGTCACTTTGAGAACTAAGGTGCTCCTGACCCAAACCATGGTATTGTCAGTTGCCTCACATGCAGGTAAACACTGGACAATGAATAAGGAAGACCGAAGAATTGATGCATTTAAATTATGATGTTGACAAAGACTATTGAATAGACCACGGACTGCCAGAAGTATGAACAAATTTGTCTTGGAAGAAGTACAGCCAGAATGCTCCTTAGAAGCAAGGATGGCAAGTCTTCATCTCAGGTATTTTTGGACATGTTATCAGGAGGGATCAGTCCCTATAGAAGGACATCATGCTTGATAAAGTAGAGGGTCAGCAAAAAAGAAGAAGACCCTCAATGAGATAGGTTACACAGTGATGCAACAATGGGCTCAAACATAGCAACGATTGTGAAGATGGCTCAGGACTGGGCAGTGTTTCCTTCTGTTGTACATGTGGTTACTATGAGTCGGAACTGACTCGAAGGTGCCTAACAGTAATCTAACAACAGGTTCCTTTAAGCCAGTGGTTCTCAGCCGGGGATGATTTTGCCCTCCACCTTCAGGGGATATTTGGCAATATTTGGAGACGTTTTTGGTTGTCTCAACTAGGAGAAGGGGTGCTCCTGGCATCTAGTGGTTGGGAGACCAGGATTGCTGCTAAACATCCTACAATGCACAGGACAGCCCATCACAACAAAGAATAATCTGGCCAAAACTGTCAGTAGTGCCAAGGTTGAGAAAGCCTGCTTTAAACAAACAAATTATTATTTTACAGTCACCTCTCACATTTTAATATACAGGTAGTCCTCAACTTAAGGCGGGGTTCCCTTCCAACGACTTTGTCTAAGTTGGTTCTGATGTCAGTCAAATACCTCATTTTTTTTTTTTTTTTAGTTTTCACTATTATTGCCTTTTATTTTCAGTATCTATAAATCTGATCTTTATTTGTCTTTGGGGGTTGGAAATATACATATAAACTTACAGATATATTTTAATACATACATAAAAAATACACAAATGATAAAAAAAATTGGATGGTTGTAAGTGTGGTTCGTCGTAACTTGAATACATCGCAGGTCAGGGGCTTCCTGTACTTAAAAGTTTCTGATCCCCTCCTGCCAGCTTCAGTCTTATGTAATCATTGGGATGGAACAAATTCTGACACCCATATCTTTCTGTCCAGCACTCGGACTCATACCTCTTTGAGGATTTGTTTCTGCTTACGTATGGAGGGTGGGATGGCAGGGAGAAACTTGTTCCAGTGAGAAAGCGATG